CCCCCTCCCACGCTCTCATTTTGCCCTCTTTTCCGTGTTTCTGATTCTTTCTGCTGCCTTTTTACTGCTACTCCTTGGCTCCTTCCTACTGCTGTCTTTCAGACACACCCCTGATCTTAGAGTAGGTAAGATCTAACACCTAGCCTCCTCTGATAAGGGCGTAAAAATCTCGGAGGTCTTGTGTGCAGGTTGCGCTCGTTAAGGATCCCTTGGTGGTCCTTAAATCGATAAAAGCAGGCTTCGGCCGCCACCCGGGCAAAATTAAAAATTAATTACTATTAAACTGAAAAAAAAAGCTTTATGTGTCCGTCGCGCACATTTGACCTAAAAGTATTTTAAAAAGGGGGAAAAAGGTATAGATCTAGATCTTGATGAATAGTTGAATGGTCGGGAACACGAGAGTCTGTTTGCATTCGAGGCGTCGGCAGTCTAGTGGTTGTTGGCTACCGAACTCGTGATCGTGAGGTTTTGGGATCGGAGATTCGAGCCTCAGCCCGACCCACCCGACTTCGTGGATTAGGGAAACACACTTTACACGACGTATTCTTCCATTCGGCTCGGTCCTATCAGAGACGAACGTTATTGGGGGTGCCCACTATCGAGAGCGGATCGCGGGTCGGGTCTTTTTCTGGTGGCTTCAGTGCACACTACAACCCTGCCGCGATTGTACCCGACGACCTGGACGTTAAAGTGGAGAAACCTTTAACCTCAATGGCTTCCAGGGCTCCTTTCCGCAGTTCCCTGTTGCAGTGCTGCGGCAGCCTGGAATCCCATAAACATGGTCACAATAGTTACATCGATAACTTGCTATTATCAAATATCGTTCATAAGAAGAAAGTTCTAGTTCACTCGGCCAAAAAGTGTCCGCGGAAGTCCGTGCATTGGTTCTGATGGAGCTGCAGTCTTTGTTTTGAAGCTTTCTTTCGTTTCTCTAGAAGAAGAATAGGAATAGCAGTTTGTTAGTTTCGCTTTTATTGTTTTTCCCACAAGTAGGGTAACTCTGTTCGCAAAGTCTGCTCTTTTTCGAAGAGGGCACCACCGGATTTTGAGTGTCAACATGGACTCGTGACTCAGCGTTGTTGTGATTGGCTGCAAACCACCCGATCGCGCGATTTGCAGGCCTGAAAACAAACGTGTTTTTTTTTTTTTTTTAGGTCACCAACCGAGTCGATCGGTCTGTGCCACGATGGCCGCTTTGCGCCCTCACTTTGGCTCGTCTCGACTACCAGATTGACCCGACCCGACCCGACCAGACCCGATCGCGTATGTGGGCACCCCCTTTTAGAATCTTACAGTTTTAAACCTGTACATTTTCACGTTTAAGTTATTCATCGTTCGAACTTCTTTTCTCACACGACCAGAGAAATATGGGTGGAGCTGTTTAAAAAGGAAATGTACATTGTTATCACGTGTCCTTAGTGCGCTTCGCCGAGAAAATGAGGATAAAAAAAATAAAAAATTCTCCTTTCATTATACAATTGCAAGCGGATCAACCTGTGCTCGACATGTTGTGACAATCACACAAGGCCATGGTGTTTTTGCGATAATTGGCAAATTGCTGTGTTAAAAGGCTGCGTGGATGGGGAAGGAGGAGATGCGTATAAATCTGAACTCTATCAACCACTTTTTTGTTATTGTCCTTCTTTTCCTTACGTGATATTTTGTGGATTTCTTTCACTCTCTCTCTCCCATTCACTTTCATTCTTTCTTTTCCTCCCTTTTCCTTCTTTTCTTTTTTGGCACCTCTTTTTGTCTCCCCCCCCACCCTCTGTGTGTGTGTGTGTGTGTGTGTATATGTGTGTGTGTATGTGTGTGTGTGTGTGTGTGTATGTGTGTGTGTATGTGTGTGTGTGTGTGTGTGTGTGTGTGTGTGTGTGTGCCTCCTTGTATGCCTCTCCGTCTCCCTTCTTCCTCTTTTACCCTTTTTCTTTTATGTCGTGTTCTGTTTCTCTTTTTGTCTTTTTTAGAGGGGGGAAGGGGGGGGGGAGCATTTTTCTTGATGTGTCTAGTTTTCTGTCTGTTATATTGAGCCGAAACATCATCTGTGTGTGGATATCTTTTTTTATTCACCCCCATCCCCTCCCCTTTTTCGGAAAGTTGTGTTTCCTAACACCCCCGCAACCCACCCTACGTCTTTCTCTCATTCTGCCCTTGTCTTTGTGGATTTCTCGTTGAGATTCAGGAAGAACAACAGGATTTTCCTTTGACAGTCGGCGATAGATACATGGCTTCGTTCGACGCGCAATTTCATTGTGTTCCAATACACGACTTCTATTTTTAGGTCGCCGGGAGGTGAAAACTTGGATTTGGGCTTGAATCTTCGTCTTATTGTCATCTAGATCTATATCCCGCTTGCATTGATCGTTTATGCCGCTTGTCTATGTGCTGAACGAAGTCTGCGAACTATCAGGTGTTCGTGTTACGTTCGCTGAGACCCATATTTGGTTATTTTAAATGACGTTTTAAAGGAAAACCTAGTAAGTAGTATGAGAGAGAGAGAGAGAGAGAGAGAGAGAGAGAGAGAGAGAGAGAGAGAGAGTGT